TGATATATCGGTAGTCGTGAAAATAGCTAACAGCCCATCTAATGGTGTAGTAGGAAAGTGGCTATGCTGCAGTGCAACTGTGTCTGAATTTCTTTTTTCGTTTAGAAGCTTATTATTTCTTAGATTTATACATTCAAAATGTCATAAACTGAGTGCTTGCCGGTCTTCTGCATGCAGTCAGATAATCTGTAATATTAATAATTTATGCATTTGAGGAAAAAATAAGTTGGTTAAATATTCTCATCTGCCTAAACCACATAAGTAGTTTCATATATATTTGAAACTTTACCTTTCTGTGTCCAGCAACTAATTACAGAGAGTAATGCACAAAGATTGTTTGATATATAATCTGCATCAGTAGTTGAAAATTGAGGATCTGTATCAGTAGTGAGAACAAGAACAGTCAACATCTGCATTATACAAATAATGCTTTTGCATTTCAAAACATTACTAAAACATAAATGTCTGCATAATTTGTTTGCTACTGTTGTGAATGTACATTTTACCTAACAAAGCACATGCTAATGCAAAGTTGTTTTGTTTTCAGAGTGATTATGTTGCATTACCATTAATTCATGTGTGCACTGTGACAAACTGTAATGGCATATCATGTTGCTTTAATGTAATGAATCCAGTACTCCCAGCTCTTAAGTCGTGTTGCTGGAAATGATTACATAAAACAGAAATGACTGTGACTAAAACCCTTGCAAAGCTTTAGAACTCCTGCACATTGTAAGAAGCTTTTTTGGGGTGTTTAAAGTAACTTTGTAAAAATTTACTGAAGGCTTCCCTTGATAATAGTTTTACTCGTTTCTGACTGTTTTTTGCATTCCACTGAAATTTGCATTATCTTTTAAGCATTGAAAGGGCTGTGCTATAATTTTGTGCAGATGTGTATGTTAAGTGAACATGATGTGCTTATTTGTTACATTTATGCTACTTTTCTTTCTTTATCTGGGTAAGATGGATGAAATTATGTATTAAATAAAAACATCAGTGATTTAGCCATGACCATTCTCTGCAGGTCCTGCGAGACTGCAAAGATTACTTTTAAAAATAAGGTGGTTGCAGAGGTTTCCAAGTATCCTCTAAATCTCAAAACCATAAAACTCAAAGTCTAAACCAGCTAAATTTCTCTTTGTTCTGACTTTCCTAAGACTCTGGCACCTTTTTTGTCTGAGTTGATGCGCTTTGAACAGAAAGTTTGCCATTCACTCAGACACTCAACATTTGAGGAAATAAAGATAGTATATCTTGTAAGAATGACCTCACTTCAGAAAAAACGTCTTTCACATTTCCATTTCTGTTAACTTTTCTTCAGGTTTTATCTTTCTAGTAGATAAACAGCACTTGAACTACTGCAACATGTTATTTAGTTCACATATATAGCCAGGAAAATACTTGAAGAGCTTTCATTTTTGCACAGATCGTTCATGATCTTGCGTAACAGTCATTTGCAAATTGGGTAAGTGAGATGTTTCAAAGATTTGTGGTGAGATAGTTTAACATCGTGAAGACCAAAATATGTAAATTAAGGGAAACCTCTTTTTTTCACCCTGTAGCCATATCCCAGTCTTATTACTGACTATATGTTTTTATTCTTCTGACCTTGAAATAACTCTCGAAGGAATTTGTTGGGTTGCTTTTTTTAATAAGAAAACATTTAACTTTGTTCTTAGCAATGACATTTAAAAATAGAAATGATCAATATAATGCATGACTGTTCAGTCAGAGATTTGTGCTTTATATTGATTTTTTTTTATTCTAAGTGCCTTCAGGCTATGTTCATTTGAGTGAAAATGATACATTAAATATATAACTAGATTCAGCAGTATTTTTAAAAACTACAACTGTAATCACTAAGAAATTGCTTTTATTTGGAAATATTTTTAACACACAGGTTTTACCAAAACCTAGCCTAATAAAAAAGTGAGAATTTCCAAAATAGAAAATTGTGTGTATGTGCGTCCTGGGCCTTGTTACAGTGCTCTGTTCTGCCTATAATATACCTTGTAATTCTGAAATATTCTTAACCAAACACCTGATTTTTAGGACATTAATAGTTCTGCGGAGGTCGGTGGGACTTCTCATGTACTTAGACTTGGGCATATGTTTAAGTATCATCTTCAGGTGGAGCCAAAATTTTATTCTGAGCAGTAACTATGTTAATACATTATTTAAAAAACTGTGATTGATAACGTAGGCCCCAAACGTACCACCCTTGCCTAAATGAGCAATCCTTTTTAATATCAAATAAATACTTTCATTGGGATTTCTGGAGGGTGGAGGAGGCAGAGGAAGGAGCAGGGGGTGAAATAACTTTCATTAACAGTAATTGAGGGCTCAGGCACCTGGGTTGTGTCCTGTTTCGAGCTGGTTTTCTTTCCAGCAGCCTGCACGTAGCGCTGTGCATTCTGATTGCATTATCCACACATTCAACAGTTTTGTACGTAACGGGTTTTTTTATACATCGGTGGCTGTTCCATGTGTTTGCCTTTATTAGCTGCAAAACCCACCCTGTTATCGATTTACAAAGTGAATGCTCTTCTGCGAAATCCTGATGGTGAGAAAATGTTACTTGGAGGTACTTGAGCTGAATTCCCATTTGAAGTGAAATAAAGCCAAGTACGTGAATGTCAGCAAACTTGTTTATAGGGGCGGGGGGTAAAGTATACATTATTTAGAAGTTGAGTCATGAGGCTGGTCGGGTTTGTGGTGTTACATCTGGCATGTCAGTCAAAGCTGGGGCAGCTGCTGCCTGTCACTACTGCTCTGGTGGGGCATTGTCCATCCATCACCGTTGGCAGCCAGCAGCCCTGAGGAGTTGTGTGAAGAGCATGTATCGCCTGGACCTACGCGCATTTTCAGTATTATCTTTGCAACTGCTTTTAGTGCTCTTTTGAGACCAACAAAAGATGGCTTCATAGAAGGTCTGATATTTGTCACATATAGGCTCTTATTAGACAAAATATTCAAGTAGTTGTAGTGTTTTCTTGTTTATGGAAAATAAAAATTTGTGTTTAATATTATAAACAATTTTGCATCTGTTTTGCTATTTACTTTATTTCCAAACCACCTCAAACTACTTTAAAAAGTAATGTCAAAAGTTGAAATGCAGTCAATCAAAGCAAAATTCAGTAAATCCTGAGAACAGCATCATCCACTGAATCCTTATAAATTTTTTCTTCTTCATACATTGCCACATGAAAGATCTGTATGCACTGAGAAAACTAATATGAAAACTTTATCTTTCATTAAGTGCAAATCTATGTGTTTGAGCTAACAGTAAACTTAAATCGCCATACTTGCACTTGGAATTCAGTAAAAAAGTGGAAGTCCTGACAGCCAATTTTAACAGATGTCCTCCTTTTCGTGAAATTAGTGGACATTTTAGAGTGAAGATTTGCCCTTGTGCTCAAAGATTAATTTTATGATTTGTTGAAAGTCAGATAATACTTTAACTATGTTCCTTCAATTTATATTATCTCAAAAAGAAATCTAATTTTGTATTTCTGTGCATGTAACTTTTTATTGCTCACTACCTGAAATAATGTCAGTTGGATTCCTCAGGTTAAAAAAAAAAAGAAAACAACAAAACAAATAACCCCACAGTGTCCTCTGCCAAAAGAAATACTAGCCTCAGGTTTTGATAAAAGCACAGCATGTATTTTTGTGAGGGGAAAGGAGGAGTAGTACAGGGGACTTTTGATTTCTTACAGAGTTGGAATGTCTCCCACCACAGCCAAGTGCAAGGCACGAGCCTGCTGGTCAGCACTTCTTTTGTGGCCTGTAGTTTACACCTGTTGTGAAGTAGGGTAAGGACAGGACGGGGAGATCTCTTTTCAAATTGGAAGAAACGTTTACTCAGACTCTAGAGGACAGGGGGGATAGTTCTACCTATCTGCTGTGGTAGAGAACGTGCAAAAAACCACGTGCCTCCCTCCAACACTAAGGGACATGATAAAGCAGGGTAGAAGAGGCTTATTCATGGTGAGATGCAGGGCAGCAGGACAGGTAACTGCAGTGTCTAGTGAGAAAAGGACAAATTGCTTTATTTAGTACAATGTGGCTCAGCTGTGAGCTGCATCCTCATTTTCATTGGTTTATATCCATTAAAGACTTGTTTTGCATTTTTAAGTCCTTCAGTAAAATAAAGAGATGTATTCAGTGATAAATAAACATTGTCTGAGGCACCGTTACTGATAATGAGGAGTAGGGTCTGCAAGTGAATTTTTGTCTATTCTCTGCGCTTCTCAGCATACGTGCGAACATTGCTGAACTAAAAACCCCAGTACGTGTATTTCAGGGTTTTTTTATTTTATTTTTAAAAAAGAGATCACAGATCAAGACATATTTATTTTAAAATTTCTTTTCAGCCTTTTTAGATGCCTGTATGTATGTGACAATTAAAAAGGATAAGGGTGTTTGTGTTGTGTAACTACTTAGACTTGATAATTTCCTAGTTGAAAAACAAATTGTTCTTAATCATGTAGTTCATAGACGAGAAATATTTTATGTGAAGTTTTTCTTAAATTTGGTTAAGGATACTTCATATTAATATTTTAAACATAATTTTAAACTAAATTGCTATTCATTTTAATTTGACAGTGACAATAAAAATGACAGTATTAGAGAACTCGCTTATTTCTAGGGAACTTTCATGGTGAAAGTAATCTTTTAGTCATAATCAGATTCAGTTTTAGCATGAGATGAAATCATTGGTCTAAGAAGTGATTTACATTTTGAAATTTTGCTTCTAGTTTTGTAATCTGTTCTAGGAGATACATGTATATAGGTAGACTGAGTTTCCATCTATGTCTCTGATCAGTGATGAACTGAGAGGATATGCACTTGGGAAACTGTTCACTGTTCATATTTTTTATCAGAAGTTTTGTTCACGCATCAATGCAAAAGTAATAAAACCCCCTAAATATAGCGAAGGTTCAATTCCCACTAAAGAACGTTGCAAATCTCTCTCTGTGTCTGTTTGAACTTCCCAGGTTTTTATCTTTCATTGGAGGAAACGCAAATGACATAGGAAAATCAGATATGCAGCAAAAAGTAAATGCAGTAATTCAAAAGGAAGGACTGGAAGGCACAGCCAAAAGGCTAAGTACAACGGTGCACACACTGCAGCTGATCATTGATGGTCTGACTCAGCCTGAAGGCTTTGACATCCGAACAGGTAAACCTTTGTTTTGAAGGTTGTAATCTCAGTTTGATTGTTCTACATACCAGTTTTAAAACAGCACGTTTTCTTCTTCTAAAGTCAGTAGTAGATTTTCATGGATGTGTAACTCCATTTCTTTTCTCAGGCAAGGTAAAGGCTACATCATAGTCAGATGTTTCTTTCCAGCTCAGTAAGTAAGGAGTGTGAATCCTGTCTTAAATCACAGTATTTTCAGCTGTAGGAAGGGGAGCTGTATGGCTGTTAACAAATGAAATCATTTCAATATGTTGACTCCGTACTTACTAAATCTGTCTTGGTCCTCCATCGTGGAAGGGAATGCTGAGACCAAGCTGAAACAGTAGTAACAAAGGTCTGTGGAGCAGTAGTGTGCAGTTCTGCTCTTTTATTGCACTAGTTCCTGGAGACAAGTGTAATTGGAGCACATGGCTCATGACCTACCTTGGTTAAAACTTTGCGGTAGTGCTGAACAGTTTGAGGTGGAGGGGAAGAAAGATGAGGTAAGCAATGAAGTAAAACATCTGGAGATGCTATTGTTTAATGAAACTTACAGCTGGATTCTCTTATGACAGCAAAAGATAAAGGTAGGTAGCAAAGGTGCAGGCTTATTATAACAAATAATAAACTTGTGCTTTAAAAAAAGTAACATTTCTGCCACCCTTTTTTGGGTTCATTAGTAGTTTTCTTGCAGATTTTGTAAGTATTTACCACTACTGATCTTGAAAATGTGTAGTTTCTATGTCTCCATTTGTTCTGGTGGTCTCACATCTAAGTTACAGTAGCATAGACTATTAACCTATGAAGATATAAAAGCAAAAGAGAATCTTCCATGGAAATACTCATATTCTGCTGATCCAGTACATTCAATATTACTGTAGACAGGCTCTGTGACTGGAGTAGGCAGTCTAGCAGCCTTGTATAGCTGTAAGTCATTGTCTTTCTAACCTGCTAGCAACTGTCAGTGAGAAAATGCATTACATCTAACAGGGCTCAGGCGGACTCAATGGTTTGTACTCTACCGTGATTCAAAAAATAATCTTGGTTTAAGATTCAATTCCTTTCTTGTTCCCAACAGTAGAGATGTGATGTTAGGGAATTGCAGACAAAGAGTACCTTTCCTATGTATCCTCTAAAATTTAATTGAAATTCTATGTTGTTTATTTTTCCTGAATGATTTTAGTACAAAGAAAAATAGGAAAAATTATTTGGGGAAAGGGAAAGAATATAATATTTTTATCACATAATTTAAAAAATCTTTTTCTAGCCAAAGTCTTGCAAGGCATTTCTTGCAAGAAACTCTCTTTTTACCACTAAAGTTGAACAGCTAATCAGGTAACTGTAGTCAATCTGCTAGGATAGGGGGAAAAAAAATCAGGTTTGCAAATGTTTAGAGATTCCCATCATTCCTCTGAATCTTCTTGTTCTCATTGCCCTGAATGGCTGTTTAGTTGCTTTTTTCATTGAAGTGCCACTGCACAGTATACTGTTACAAAAGGATTAACCATTTTGGGCTTGAGCAATTCCTTCAGTAGAAAATTCTTCGTTCAGTAGAAAATTTGATGTCATTCAAAGCCTGTTGCTGTATTTGTCAACTTGTGTACTTGAGTGGGGTTTGATCCTGTGGTGGGTTGACCCTGGCTGGACATCAGGTGCCTACCAAGCTGCTCTGTCACTCCCCTCCTCAACTGGACGGGGAGGCAAAATATAGTGAAAGGCTCATGGGTCAAGAAAAGGACAGGGAGAGATCACTCACTAATTACTGTCACAGGCAAAACAGACTCGACCTGGGGAAAATTAATTTAATTTATTGCCAATCAAATCAGAGAAGGGTAATAAGAAAAACCAAACCTTAAGCACACCTTCCCTCCACCTACCTCTCCCTTCTTCCCAGGCTTAACTTTACTCTGATTTTCTCTACCTCCTGCCCCACCAGCAGCACAGGGGGACAGGGAATGGGGGTTGGGGTCAGTTCATCACCCGCTGTCTCTGCCGCTCCTTCCTCCTCAGGGGGAGGACTCCTCATGATCTTCCCTTGCTCCAGCCTGGGTCCCAGCCTCCTTCGGGCACCTCCCTGCTCCGGCGTGGGGTCCTCCCCGGGCTGCAGGTGGGGATCTGCTCCAGCGTGGGCCTCCGTGGGCTGCCGGGGGACAGCCGGCCTCACCGTGGGCTGCCCCAGGGGCTGGGGGGGATCTATGGTCCGGGCCTGCAGCACCTCCTCCCCTGCTGCACTCACCGGGGGCCGTCTGCAGGGCCGTTGCCTCCGGAAAAGTCGGTTGGTCTGCTCCTGCCGCAGCTTCTCTCTCCTCTCTTGGGCTGCTGTTGCTGTTGTGCAGGTTTTTCCCCCTTCTTGACTCTGTTATCCCAGAGGCACTACCACCATTGCTGATGGGCTTGGCCTTGGCCGGCAGCAGATCTGTCTTGGAGCCAGCTGGCATTGGCTGTGTCGGACATGGGGGAAGCTTCTGTCAGCTTCTCACAGAAGCCACACCTGTAGCCCCCCCGCTACCAAAACCTTGCCACACAAACCCAATACAGATCCATAGCCTGGTGAGGTTACAGACTGATTGATTTCCAGTGCGTTTTAGCTATAAACTTGTTCAGGCTGTATTTTATTTCTCAAAGGCAAATATAGAAAAATGATTGCAATCCTGGTTTGGTGGTGCTCTCTGTGGAAAATCTCAGTCCTGTTATATCTTGGAAAAGGTGAAACAGCAGTAGGAGAAGGTTGAAAGGGAAGTTGTTGAGATGGCTCAGAAGGGTTTTCTGCAGGAGCAGAAAGTGGTACACAAGTAACAAGAGAGTTTAAAAGATCTATCTGTGCCCTTACATGCAGACTGTGAACTTCGATATATTAGGATATTACCTGCTTATAATCATGCATCTGTAATTTTTAAGTTGTCGGTGCAAAGAAGCAGTTGATTATGTGATGTCATGGTGCAAATGAACAGCAAACCGAAGAACAGCGCAGTGTTGACTTTTCTCTTTAGTACGTGATGAGACTGAGTATTCACCTTCCTTTATACAAATTTCTATAGGAATAGAATTTTATTTATAATTTATGTAGCTCAAGTCAGAGTTACCTCAAGTCTTTTCTCCTTAGATCCAAGAAAATTTAAAGAATCTTTCAGTCACTAGCTAATACACTGCACGCTTGTGATCCCCTTGTGATAGTTTCATACCACGGAGTACACTATACTTATTACTCCACTAGTCATATTTTGAAGTGATTCATAAAATACAAGAAATCAGCTGTTTATCACAGATGGGTCTATCTTTAAAAAAACGTAATGAAGCGGTATTTGGGACCCTAGAGCTACCTTGGGATGACTTCTTAGTTAGAAGCAATCAGCTGGAAACAACCCTTAAAAATAATGCAAACTTTTTCTCCAGTGTCTTATTTTTGTTTCTTGTTTCTTGTAACAGATTTTGATAAACCTGACTTCAAGAGAAGCATAGTCTGCTTTGAAGACTTAAGTGTTGGTACTGTTCTGACTGGAAAAGTTGAAAATGCGACGCCATTTGGAGTGTTTGTTGATATTGGTGTGGGAAAAGCAGGTTTGATTCCAGTGCGAAACATAACAGAAGCAAAACTTTCTAAAGTGAAGAAGAGAAGAAGCCTGGGGCTAGGTAAAAAAAAAGAGTGGAAGTTAAAGTTCTTAATGTTGATATTCCTCGACTGAGGATAACATTGGATCTTATTCGCGTTTTATGAGAGGGTTTTTTATGATTGAGCCTTCATTTTTAAAGGTTAAGTAATATCAGCAAGGTTCTGGAGATTCAGGCATTTAATGAGTGTTGAAAATGAACAAATTTTGAAACCTTCAGCCTTGCTTCTTTTTCTTTCTTTTTTTTTTAATCTAACAGTTTTTCCACATTTCATGAATCCTTTCTGTTAATAATTGTCAGAACAGTTTATTGGATTACCTCCAAGCAACCTTGTTATTTTGTCTGCAGAGCGAATGAAATTCCAGTGGACTGTCAGACAGATCTCTTATCTGTTCTGTCTGTGAAAGATTTACTGTCTCAATCGTTAGTCGGTACCGCATGAGCAGACACATCTACTGCTCCTCTTCAAAAAACAACCATTCACTTTGCCTGTTTTCTGGTTGAAAGTCTAAAAGAGGGTTTGTAGTTGTAGGAAAAAGTGATTTTTTTTTAAGTTAGTTGGTGATGACATCACTTCAAAAGTAGACTGAAAAAAGAGCATCTGCTAATACTATTGATGGTTCAGAAATATTTGGCTTTAATTTATTTGAGCAACGTTATTAGGAGGTCTGTTTACCTGTCTTATTATTGCTTCTTCAGTTATCATTGATTAACACGCTTGGATGTATCTTGGGGTTTAAGGAACTTTGCTCAAAGGTGTCAGAAGACATTTGTGTTGTTCTATACTTGTGCAAAATAAAAACATTTCTGGCCATCTTTTCTCAGTGTACTGGTTCTACAAGTGATTTAACAGTCCGAGTTCTCTTTCTTTCCGACGAGTGCTCCATCAGTAACACTTCAGCTTAAGGATGCATCTTGTGAGGCTGCACTTGTCTGACCTGAATGTTATGCACTTTCCTGTGCTTTAATACCGGACTACAGCCCATGGCCTGATGTCGTTCCTGATTTAATAAAATAGTTCTAGTCTGTCTTGGACTCCTTTAACTTGACATTAATTATTTTTCTGTCTTTGATATAATGTATTTTTCTGCCTGTTTTGAGTGGAGAACAACTTTTCAACACTTGTCTTCACTCACTGTGCTCATGAAGGCATGATTCTCCATAAAAAAACTTTTTGCTGATTGTAGATGCTTGCAAAACTTTTACAGACTTCTGTTTTAGTAAGAATGCTTATTGTTTCTTGCTAGGAATGCCTAGCACATGAGGTTTGTTTCTTCCACCTAGAGATTTTTTGTTTTGATGTTTCAAAGGATTTACCAATTTGGCCAAGTTTGCAAAGGACAGGCAATGGTAAAGTGGGAGAATAGCCTCCAGCAACAGCAGATGTATGTGGCCTTTCCAGAGAATTTTTGGTGTATTAGACATTTATTCCTTTGAAGTCATCAAACTCATCTGTAAGTTAGCAGAAACTCCTGTCTTTAACAGATGAGGACAGACAACACCTATAGCAACTGTCAAACATCTTTGATGACAAAGTTTCTGACTACAAACATGCAAATAGCTGTTGGCACAGGGACTATATATTAGTTAGGAAAAGGTTGGCATCATTTAATCTCCCACCTCTGTGCTTTAATTTTTAAAATTAAGAGCCAGCTGTAGACAGTGTATTTTGGAGATTATGGAATCATTTAGCAGATGGAAAAAAAAGGAGACAGATCTTACTAGCTTAACTGCATTTGTCTACTGAAGAAAAAAAGACCATTCTCTATGATGTGAAGGTCAGCACAGCTTGGAATCATGTTTCTCAGGCCTTTTTAAATTTTCCTGTAATACTTCTGTAAAGTAGATTTTGTTGGTATGAAATTAGAAACTGTGATACCATGTTACTGTCTTTGAAAACACAGGTGCAAAGCAAACAAGCTGAAATTATTTTTTTTTCTTCTGCAAGTGATGTGTTCGCTGATAATGCTGCAGTTTTTTCTTCTATCTCCATCAGTAGAATTATCTAAGTTCTGCTGAGCTTTATATATCATCTATACGGTATCTAAGCACTTAGCAAATTAATGGAATTTGTTTTGCCTTCTCTAAGAAGGAGATAAACTTGATCTTCTCCTGAAGCTCATTTCAATGGCTAAGAGAAAGAGTATTTTCTCTTTTTGTACTATTTTGTTACTGAAATTCTTTTTATTTAATCTTTGATATCATGAGGACTGTAGTATCTTCTGCATTTTTGTGTATATCTCTTGGATGTTCATAAAGTTCTCTAAATGAAAGACATCTCCTTGAGACTGTTTTCCTCACTGTTAATTCACAGGAGGCTTCTTGCTTACTCAGAGGACTGACCTACAAATCAACTCATGTACTCATGAGCTTGTTTGGTTTCTCCTCAGTGGAACTCAGAAGCTTGTTCTATGGCATCACAGGGACTATTGGAAAATGTCATCTGTCTTTGGATTTTTTTAGTTGCACCAAAATGGGAAGTTTATGACTACTAATGTCTTAAATGTCTGCAGTTCTATAAAATGTAATCCCATTATTTGTCAGTTCAGTATCTACTTCCCTCAAAAATATTTTTTCTTTGCAAATTCTTTTTTTTCTTAACCAGAACACAACCATTATAACAACCTAATGAGAGTCTAACAAGGATGAATATGTGTTCATATGACCTTCTCAGTTTTTGCCAGATCTTTGTCTGGAGATTTTAAGATTCTTTCTTCTTAATCAGTTTTCCTCTTGAACTCTTGTGACTTTCAGATTTCTGACATCAAAGCATCAAGACTGTTTTCTCTAATTCATCTCCCCTTCTAGTTTCTGAACCAAGAAAAAAATTACTGGCTGGGTGCTTTTTCCCATTTGAGATGCTCTTCAAGATGCAATCCAGTCTTTGGAACAAATTATGTAGTGCTTAATGGTGATGCCTCTAAGATTTCAAACAAACAAACAAAAAACAACCCCTGCTTCATCTTGTTCTTACTTGAATGCTTCAAAGTACAGTTTCTCAGGGGAAGAATTAAATATGAGTCTTTAAGTCTCACTAAAAATTTTACTTTTGCCTTAAGCTGTAGATTCCAAGGCATCTACTCACTGTTCCACCTCTCCACAAGAGAATCCAGCCCATTGATCTTAGCTGACAATCTGCTTTTTTTAGTCCCACCCTCACTCAAATAGTCTGGTATTTTGCAATCACCTTCTTCTGATATGCAGACCCATAGAAGAGCTTCCACAGATTTCCTGTGCTTTAGATGTTACACAAAGGAGAAGAATTTTTCTGCCGAACAAGATGGCACTTGTATGCCTGGCTGTAGTAATGCAAATCGAGAGTTTAAAAGAAGCCATTTGTTTTGGTTTTATTCCTGCTTCAGGCAATTTTAGACAGCATATATCAATTTTCCAGAAACTTGTCAACCTCAGGAATGATTTAGTATGCTGTTAAACATAATAAAATCAATAGGAAAACAAATAGAATTTCCACGAGGAGCAGACGGTTGGAGAAGCTTGTCCATATGGCGTAAAGACATGCTGGAATTTGGGGGTTTGTGGGGTACTTGTGTTAGAGAAATTGCATACCAAACAAAGGTAATGCATAATTCAGGAGAACAAATGATCTAACAGCTTTGTGGTGGTGCGTCTTGGACCTTGGTGTCCGTATTTATTTAGCAACAAATACACTTAGAAACTGTATGCCTGGAAGCTACAAACCAAACATGAATCATATTTGCCTAATTTCAGAGCTTTATGTAAGGAGCTTCACCCGTGCTGAAGTGAGTGCCGAGTTCTGGGTTCAGCCTGAATAGCACCTTTACTTTTCTAGCTTTCTTGAGGTTAATTTATGTAGCTACTTGGCTTTGCTTAAGGACATCCAACTTCAAGACTATCAGTCCTATAAGAAAGTGGGGAGAACCTCTTGGTTACACCAGTCCATGTTACTCTATGTCACTCCCTTTTGTTCAAGGTTTCCTAAAGAACTGTGAGGGAGTTGCTGTGTCTCTGGGTGTATGTAAACACTAGGCAAACCAGTAATTCCACTCCACCCCATGAGAGACCTAGAGGTTTGAGAGCACCTTGGTTTACTGGTCCCAACTGTTCTTCACCCTCCTCACAGGTAAGTAGAAGCTGTAAGTTTTTAGAGGTGTTTCATCTTGAGAAATCCTTGTGAATCCGTACTCCATAAAGCTTCACAAGTAACTAATATGTCTGTATTTCTTGCAGCCAACCTCAGTGACTAGTTTTTAGAGATCTTTGGTTGCCTGTTTGCAGTTGAGCGTCTAAATGGTCCTTTCAGTGGATGTTGCAACTGTATGCTGGCCACAAGTACCTCATGCAAGGAGGCTGTTGAAAAGTGCTGTTTATTCAGAGGTGTCTGTAGGAGCTGACCAGTTGCTTCCATCTAATCCATGTTAGAACTTTGGTTGGGTATTTTTCCAGATGGACGTAAATGAGTCACTCATGACAGGTCAACCAGTCCTCATAAAGCTTTTCTGCAACTGATGGCAATTTCTAGAGATCTAGAGTTGAATAGCAAATCATAAGAAATCTATGTATTGCACCACAGACTTTACTACAGCTTCTTCAACTTGGAGATCAACAGTCAAAATTCTTCAGTTGGGGAGGGACCAGTGCTGAAGTATTGCTTCTCTGTGAGTTTATACAATGGGGCTTGCTGCTATTAATCAATCTACTGGTGTTGATGCTGTTCCTATAGCTGTTAGGTCTCCCCTGGGCATGTTCTAGCTGCATCAAGAGATTCTCCACTCTTTAGAAGTGAGAGAGGACTGGCGGCCATGCCCAGAGCAGGATGACTGTCATACCATTGAGAATTTGAAATCGAACCAAAAGTTCAGGGTGAAGCACTCAAATCTCATCTCACCTGCTTTCTGTCCCTGACTAAGAGCTAACAAGCTTTTGAAATTGACGTGCTTACTTCTTGTTTCACTGGTTAGACCTTTTACCTTATTTGGCTTCTTCTAGAATTGAAGAAGATTATGGCATGCTCAACACAGCAGCCCAATTAGTATTATTAGAAACTTTTATTTGTTTGTTTGTTTTGTCTCCCCCTCTTTTTCTCCTCCACAAGGAGCCACAAAGAAGGAAACACGTAGTAAACTGAGGAG